AAGAGAACTATTAGGACATCCTGATAATAAAGAATTACAATAGTCCAGCCTCGAGGTTATAAATGCATGGACTAGTTTCTCAGCGTCACTCTGAGACAGGATGCTCCTGATTTTGGCAATATTACGAAGATGAAAAAATGCTGTCTTACATGTTTGTTTTATATGGGAGTTAAAGGACATATCCTGGTCAAAAGTAACCCCGAGGTTCTTTACTATGGAACTAGACGTTAAGGCGATACCATCTAAAGTAACTATCTGGGCAGATAGTGAGTTTCTGAGGTGTTTAGGGCCAATACAATAACCTCAGTTTTGTCTGAATTTAAATGAAGGAAGTTACAGGTCATCCAGACCTTAATGTCCTTCAGACATGCCTGGAGTTTAAGCAACTGATTGGTTTCATTCGGGTTCATAGATAAATATAACTGGGTGTCGTCTGCATAACAATGGAAATGTATGCAGTGCTTCCTAATAATGTTGCCTAACGGAAGCATATACAGAGTAAATAATATTGGTCCTAACACAGAACCCTGAGGAACTCCATAAGCAACTCTGGTACGGCTGGAAGAACCATTATTAACATGAACAAACTGGAATCTGTCTGATAAATATGATTTAAACCAGTTCAGCGCAGTCCCTTTAAGTCCAATTGCATGTTCCAGTCTCTGTAATAGGATGCTATGATCAACAGTATCAAATGCCGCACTGAGATCCAATAGAACCAGAACGGACACTAGTCCACTATCTGAAGCTAGAAGAAGATCGTCAGTGACCTTCACCAGTGCTGTCTCTGTACTATGATGGATTCTAAATCTTGACTGAAACTCTTCAGTCAAACCATTTACATGCAGATAATCACATAGTTGGTTTGCCACGACCTTTTCAAGGATTTTTGGAGATGAAAGGAAGGTTGGATATTGGTCTGTAATTGGCTAAAACGACTGGATCTAGAGTAGGCTTTTTTAGAAGTGGCTTTATTATAGCAACTTTAAAAGCCTGTTAGCAGATAGATTTTAAATTGCATATTTCACATAGACTTGTTTAAAGATGTATAAAACATGTATTAAATTATTTGTGTCCTACATGTCTTTTCACCATAAAAAAAAGTTCAATTAACCAGTTAGAAATTCTGAAAAATACAGCGACACCTTTTTAGTCTTTGAACAAACCGCAATTTATAAAAATGCAAATATAGTTTAATTTCAGAAATATATTCTAGATGAAAGGTGTCTGTATCACTGAAAGCCAGTTAATGTTTTTACAGTCTAAGCTTCAGGTTTCAGTATCACACCTGAGTAAGCTGCCTGTTGGACCAGGATCATCTCAGGACCAGCAGCTCTGCAATGTTGGATGCAACTATAGAGACAAATTCAATAGATGTTTAGATACTAGTCAGACAAGACGACATTTATTATATTTACAATTTAGGTGAACAGAACAAATTTGTCCAGTGTTTGGTTTTGTGTGTCCAGGAGTCAAGGCAGTAGTTGAAATGATTCCCTGTATTCTGTCATGCTAGGTGTAACTATGAGTTTTGTCCCTGCAGGCTCTTATGTACCAGGATCCTCAGCGCTGGGGCATCACGCTGCAGACCTATGTCCAACTCACCATGCTGGATAGACACCTGTCAGCCATTGTAAGGGCACTGCCTGCCAGACACACACCTGCTTTCCTCTAAACTAGTGTTACTGTGTACTAGCAACCACTGAAAAGACTAAAGTAGGCATGCTGTTACACTGTGCTGTGTTGACCTACAGTGTGGACAAACACGCTGGTCAGCTGTAGGCTGCTAATGTAATCATATAATCTCAGGAGAAGATCAGCTGGGTACACTGAAAGGTTCTTGTTGATTTCAGTCAGCTCCTATCAGGATGATGGAGAGGTCCCTCTTCAGTGCCAAGTACATCTTTGTGGAGAATCTCTTCAGAAGGTACTGTTATTCATGATTAGAGAGCACCAGGATCTGACCAGTACATGAGCTGAACTTGACTGATGAATTCTGTTGCATAACTGGTCAAATCTACATGTAATACTTCTCGGAGATGGGATGTTCAGAGCCAAGTTGCACACTGGAGGTGGTCAATCCTCTACTGTTCACTCACTGTTTACACATTTTATATAACAGGACTGGATTTATCACAGGCTATTCAGTTTAATCAAACCTCAGTAGAACAATATTTTGTATATAATCAGGCTCAATGTCTGATTATGTGACTTATGCCAAAAATGAAAGACATGACAAATTGTCGTAGGGTCATTCCACCTTAATTCATTAAAAAAAAATTTTAAAGTTCACACCTGACTCTCTCATATTTGTCTGGTATTTTTCAATGTATGTGTATGGTATTAGGTAAAAGTTTAGGTCACAGGTGTTGTAAATTTTGAGTTAAAAATTCTTAAAGAGGAGTGAGTTCATGTTGTTTTCCTTGTGCCAACCTGTGGAGCAATGTTTGAAGTGCCATAAGCTGAGAAATAATGTAGTCGGAGTTCTGATGTGTTCATCTGGTAGGACAGGTGAGAAACAGATTGGCAGATTGGTGTGAACAACACAGTGAAAAAATCGACACAACTCTACCTTCAAGAATCTTTTGCTCAAGAACTAGTGTTACCAATGACCTCAGATTTTACACATCGACAACTCAATTGGTGTTCATCACTTTAAAAAGAAAATTAGCCAAATTGATATTGTTTGCAAATGTAGATCATCCTCTGGTTTCTATTGCCTATCCTTGTAGTGTACTGACCTGGGAAAACTAACGTCCTGCTGCTGACTTATCTTTCTTTTCCAGTGGGAAAATGCCAGAGGTGGACTATGCTGTTCTCAGCGAGTGGTTTAATTGGATCACAACTAACGTTTCCATTCCTGTTGATCTGATTGGTGAGAACACCCAACGCAGGAACACAAACACATGTTTCATACAGATTATGATAAAGATAAGACATACAGTAGCTGTAGTGTTTAAATACTGACACTCCGAATGTGAATGATTTTATGATGGTAATTGATATCTGTCTGTATGGTAATGTGGTGGTGTTTCCATACACCTGTCTGTTGGCTGACTGTGTCTCCTAGTGGCATCAACATTCATGTTCACAGTAGCCAAGCATTAAATTATCTCTTTATTGAATAGCACCAACACTCTGGTTTTGGTGTTTCTGCCTCAAAAACATTTTTTGCGCTATAATAGTGGATGAAAAAAGTAATAATACTGGTTTTAAAGTCTATATTTTATGTGGCCTTAATTGGTAGACAGGAAACACAGAGGCAACGTTTTATATTGTTGATCTTGATAAACAGGGGCTCTTTTCAAAATTTCTTACACATTGTGCAACATTAAATAGTCTGAATCTGTTCTTGAACACAGTCCAGTGACAGAAGTTTCAACAGTCTTTTATGCAAATCAGTAGGTCACAGGTCACAGTAGGTCTTCATGTACAGAAATGCCCCATAATACTACTGTCATCTTCATCAAAGCAGTTTAGAGGAACCTCAGCCATCCCGTCTGTACCAGGAAGCCAGCTATTTCACTGTCCAGTCATGGGAGCAAGATGAACTTTGATTCCTCATTTACATTTGTTAACGCCAGAAGCTGAACCAGCTTTTTGATGTGCGTTATGGTGCTTTTTCCCATTTTCAGTTTATCTGCAGACGTCTCCTCAGACCTGCTATGAGAGGGTAAAGCAGAGGTGCAGAGAAGAAGAGAAAGTCATTCCACTGGTGAGGAGGAAACAAAACTCAAAGCACATTTTATTTTACTGAATGTAAAAGCTGTCAATCAACCTAAAGGGAAGGAAATGGGTTTTAGAAAACTCTGAAGATGACCATTTTGAGAACTGGCTACGTGTCTGTCTGTCTGTCTGTCTGTCTGTCTCTCTCTCTGTCTCTCTCTGTCTCTCTCTGTCTCTCTGTCTCTCTCTGTCTCTGTCTCTCTCTGTCTCTCTCTGTCTCTCTGTCTCTCTCTGTACACTTCTCCAGGAGTATCTAGAGGCCATCCACCAGCTGTATGAGGACTGGGTTTTCAAGCGCAGCTCCTCTCCCCTCCCGGCTCCTGTGTTGGTTAGTGAGCGCTCACATTCAGCATGTCTCTGCTTTGATTGTGTAGATGCTGTACAATCAGAATGTAGCCATGTAGTCGCACACAACCATACAATTGACCCATTTTCACTGGCTGTGCACAATAAAGCAGTTCTGTGGTGTGCTAAGCTATGACTTGCACTTCATCCTTCCTTTCTTTATGTACTGGTATCGCAAGTGTCAAGTGACTTTGAAATCTTTAATCTTCCACGATATCTGCTGGCCTTAAATTCTGATGCGCGTCTAATATTTTAAGAAAGTTATTGAGAAAAAGATGCATGTGATTGCAGGTGATTCCTGCTGACCATGACCTCCAGGGTATGCTGCACCAGTACGAAGAAAATCGTGACAAGATCCTAGCGTACCTCTGATGCTGAAGTTTACACTTACACACAGTGTGAAACGATCCCTTGTTAAAGACAAGAAATCATAAAGATGTTAATACATCAGTTGCACTGGTTGTAATTTCTAGCTGTCTGACAAGTTGTCTCTGTACATGGGATTACTTTGAAACCAACTACAGTTCAGCTCATATGTGCTTTTTAGGGGGAAAACTCATCTTTCACAGCTTTTAATATCAAAATGCTCTTAACAAAATGTATATTTATTTATTGTCACCTTCAGGGTGGAACCAGAACTAACTTCAGACCAAATCAGCCATTCCACTGACCCTCCTTATGCTTCATGTAAACCACTTGAGTTTTTTTTTTGTTTATTACATAAGAGTTACTGAGACAAACACAAAAAACCTCCACGTTTAAGAATATGCTTAGAGCTACTTAAAGTCACACTGATTCATTCAACATTGTCTGTAGTGACTTGTTCAGTTGTTGTTTCCTAATTTACTTGTTTTATGACTATTTAATTCAATAAACTTTAAGTGTTTCCTGAGAGCTTCTGTTTTGTTGTCATTGTTATCTTTATTGTGTGGGATTTTAAATGGCAGTCAGTGAAAAAACAGAAAGCAGGTCATATAGAAGGCCTGCTTTAGACAGAATACATGTACAGTGGGGCAAAAAAGTATTTATTCAGCCACTGATCATGCAAGTTCTCCTACTTAGAAAGATGAGAGGGGTCTGTAATTTTCATCGTAGGTACACTTCAACTATGAGAGACAAAATGAGAAAAAAAATCCAGGAAATTATGTTGTGGGATTTTTAAAGAATTTGCAAATTATGTTGGAAAATAAGTGTTTGGTCAATAGCAAGAGTTCAACTCAATACTTTGTAACACAACCTCTGCTGGCAATGACAGAGGTCAAACGTTTCCTGTAAGTCTTCACCAGGTTTGAACACACCACAGCTGGTATTGTGGCCCATTCCTCCAAGCAGATCACCTCTAGAGCAGTGATGTTTTGGGGCTGTCGCTGGGCAACACGGACTGTCAACTCCCTCCACAAATTTTCTTTGGGGTTGAGGTCTGGAGACTAGCTAGGCCACTCCAAGACCTCGAAATGCTTTTTACGGAGCCACTCCTTCGTTGCCCGAGCGGTGTGTTTGGGATCATAGTCATGCTGGAAGACCCAGCCACGCTGCATCTTCAATGCTCTCACTGATGGAAGGAGGTTTTGGCTTAAAATCTCACGATATATGGCCCTGTTCATTCTTCCCCTAACACTGATAAGTCGTCCTGTCCCCTTTGCAGAAACACACCCCAAAGCATGATGTTTCCACCCCCATGCTTCACAGTAGGTATGGTGTTCTTGGGATGCAACTCAGCATTCTTCTTCCTCCAAACACGACAAGTTGAGTTTTTACCAAAAAGTTCTATTTTGGTTTCATCTGACCACATGAAATTCTCCCAATCCTCTTCTGGATCATCCATATGCTCTCTGGCAAATTTCAGACAGGCCTGGACATGTACTGGCTTTAGCATGGGGACACCCCTGGCACTGCAGGATTTGAACCCCTCTCGGCGTTGTACGTTTCTGATGGTAGCTTTTGTTACTTTAGTCCCAGCTCTCTGCAGGTCATTCATCAGGTCCCTCCGTGTAGTTCTGGGATTTTTGCTCATCGTTCTCATGATCGTTTTGACCCTACAAGATGAGATCTTGCGTGGAGCCCCAGATCGAGGGAGATTATCAATGGTCTTGTATGTCGTCCATTTTCTTACAATTGCTCCCACAGTTGATTTATTCACACCAACCTGCTTACCTATTGTAGATTCACTCTTCCCAGCCTGGTGCAGGTCTACAATTTTCTTCCTGGTATCCTTTGACAACTCTTTGGTCTTGGCCATGGTTGAGTTTGGAGTCTAACTGTTTGAGGCTGTGGACAAGTGTCTTTTATACACATAACGAGTTCAAACAGGTGCCATTAATACAGGTAGCGGGTGGAGGACAGAAGAGCTTCTTAAAGAAGAAGTTACAGAAATTACAGACCTCTCTCATCTTTCTAAGTAAGAGAACTTGCACAATCAGTGGCTGACTAAATACTTTTTTTGCCCCACTGTATATCTACTGTGAAATGATTTAACTGACTTGTAGACCTGATGAAGACCATGTAGGTTTTAAATGTTTTTCTCTTAAACGTTTTGTTCAAAGAAACATTGCTCTTTCTCCTACATGTTTTTCCACAATAATAAATAAATTCTGTATTT